TGAGCTACTAGTAAAATGGATTGGTGCAAAAAAAAAAAAGTCTAAAGAACTTAATTTTTAGAAAAAAGCCATCAGTTCTGACGAAATTCATCGCACTGTTACATTCATCACAAATAATGCAGTTATTGTTAGTATGTGTTAGTATTTCCTGGAAGAGTGCCTCATTTCAAACGCAACAATATAAAGTTGATGTCAACAACTGAGACAAAATTTACAGTGTTATTTGCGTGTTGATGCCTTTATGATGAACGGTGTAAGTTTGATCCATCAAAATTACACCGTTCATTATAAAGTTGGAATTTTTTGATGTTTACTGTGAGGGAATCCTAAACAAGTAAACTACATAATTGATGAAGCCCATTTTACCAGAAAAGAAATAAGTGCTGTGTCTTATTAACATAATTTTTAAAAAATTTTTCGGATAAAAGAAGAGTATACAACAACAAGTGATATACAACATACAAGATATACAAAAACAATTGCTCAATGAAAAAATGAATAGTTTTGCCCTGTGGTAATGTAAATAGATGGTGTGCATTGGTCTCCACAAGTTTATATTATGAATCCACAAGTCAATTTTCCACATTCTATTTTATTTCTATTTTATGATTGCAGGTCACGATTTACTCCAGATTACAGTGTGCCCAAAAGTTCATTTTTTTTTTTTTTTTTTTTTTTTACTTTAAATAATTTATTTAATTTATAACACATACAATACAGCTAAGTACTAATGTTTTAATTTATTTATGTAATATTTCAGTCTGAATAGTTCAGACCGTCATCAGACGTAAAATTAAATACAATAAAAATCTCACAAAAAAAACGTATGTAAAAAAAAAAAAAAAAAAAAAAACCCGTTATAGAAGACATTACAAAGATGAGCTGACGTAACGTAAACAACTATTTTGAAATTTCTATGATTTTTTTAAAAAGAGGTCTCCAGCTATTTGACGCAATTTTAACACCGTTGTCTTTGTTCAAAAGCGGTGGGAAGTGTCTTATTTCGTAATTTATTTGGGCATAATTAATTTTAAGTGACTCTCTTATTTTCCTTTCATGGTAGTTAGACTTGAATGCGATCGTTTTTGGGTGCGTCCAATTAAATATACCGTGGCAGTTCTTGCAGTGTTCTGTGGCTCCGGAAGCATGCCAATTACCTTTCATACTGTTTATCTGATGCTCAATACTTCTTTGTATAATTTTCTTTTTTGTTTCTCCAATATAAACGCCACCGCATGAACACGTAAGTTTATACACACCCGGCTTGCTATTTGGCAATAGTTTGGATTTGTTATTACACAAAATTCTTTTTAAAGTTGGTGGTGTTGTAAATATAACTTTAGCGCCATATCTCTTGAGCTCTTTTCTTAATTTTGATCCTATTCTTGGAATCCATGGGAGTTTTATTGCTATGTTACCATTTTTTGTTTGATCTGCAACTACACCAACAGGATTATTTTTGATTTTGAGATAATTTTTTGTTATAAGCTCTAATTCAGATTTTTTATGGCCATTTTCGACAAACATATTTATTATAAATTGTATTTCATCTTGAAGGTATTTTGGAGAACAAATTTTTGAGGCTCTTGATATAAAACCTTTGAAGACTCCAGATGTTATTGCAGGATTAATGTTAGAATTCGGTTTTATTTGTATATTCGTAATTGCGGGTTTTCGATGGATTTTGAAATCATAGTGGAAATTGTTTGTGTTTATTATTGTTATATCTAAAAAGTTTAGTTCTTTCGTTTCGTTTTTTATTTCCGATGTGTATTGAATTGCAGGATCTTGTTGATTTAACAATTCCAAAAATTTGTCGTGTTTTTCTAATGAATCAAATCTCGCATGGCTGTCGTCTACATAGCGTTTGAATGACTTAATAAATTTATAATGACTTAATAAATTTATATTGTGTAGAACATATGTAGGTCAGTGCAAAAAATTTTTTTTTGAAATTCATCAAGCCATTTTGCTTTTATAGCTGTTTAAAGTTGAAGAAAAAGGTGACGCAAAATATTTATCTTAAAATTGTACCAGTACTGTTTTTTTACAATAACTTTGAGGTGCATTAAAAACTACTCCATCTTATTCTGATCTGTAAATTTAATTTGTTAATTACTAAAATAAAAATAAAAATTGAAATTTAAACATTTATTGTAGTTAAACAATAAATGTTTAAATTTCATTGAAATTAAACATGTATATGTAGTTTTGTTTGAACCTAAAAAAGTTCTAAATTATATGAAAATATATTTATTTGATTAAAAACAAAATGGCTGGAAAAAAAATTACCCAAATAAACTCAAGTTTGATACGATAGAGACTTTCTATTTTTATATGTAAAAAATTCCACTGCTCGGTAATCCCCAGAAATTGAGTAATTTAAATTTGAGTTTTAAAATTGAGCGCGAAGTTGCGTAATTATAAAAATCAACTTTTACGGAAGATTCAGGAATACCTTATTGATAACTCGTGACAAAATGATAATGATAAAAAAAGAGAATAAGAAGAAATTTTACTAACTTCATATATCGATATTAGGTTCATTGGAAAAATCGAAGCTAATTTTAAAATAATCAAAGTGGGATATAATCTAACTTTAGAAGATGAAAAAGATAACATCAAGAAAATTTTGAAACAAATTGAAAGGCATGTAAAAAAAATATAATAAGTTGAAACAAAATAAACTTGTGGCCCAATTCGAAACTTGGAGATACGAAGTTGGGATAAAAATATCCGGAAATCTACCTGCATTAGCATCATCTCATTCAGAGGTGATATAGAAAAATAGGGAGCTCCACAAGTTTAAAGAGGACGGAAATCAAAAAGACTAAGGTAAATATTTAGCTGTTGAAATTTATTTGAATTTCTTAAGCATCATGATATTTGGGAAACCCTTCAGCTAGCGAAGATCCCTAAGAGCTGAGACTTGAGGTTCTCCAGAAACTAATGTTGCCAACAAGGAATAATGTAGATACATTTAAATGTACTTTGCTATCTAAAGAAGTGAGCAGTGATGACAAACAAACTTTATCCCCTGTGAATAGTGTTATCAAAGACGCTGTTGAGCCTCTGCTTGATACATCCGGGTTTAGTGCTGAAAATGATTTTAAATACGTAGAGGGTAAATTTAGACTTGATGATTCTGGAAATCACAGCTGCCGTTATCAGCTTTCTGATCCTCAAGATGCAGACTTAAAGGAAACAAATTAAATTTGTTCTTTTTGGTGTCCCTTGAAATTAAAAATTTAAAAATTCAAATAATCTGCTCAAATCCAATCCCTAACTTCATTAATTTTTCCAGGCCTGTTACTCTAGTGAAAGCAAAAGAAACTAAGGAAAGTGTAAAGGAGTATTCTAAACAAACTCTGAGTCAATTGCTACATCAAAAGCTACATGCACTTGACCACTGTATGAAGTTGTTATATCCCATTGTGGGCCAGCAAACCCATACATGGTCAATGAGAATCAGATTCTTCAAGGGAAATTTAATGAGAACCAGATTCTTCAAGGGGAATTTAATGAGAATCAGATTCTTCGAAGGGAATTCAATGAGAATCAGATTCTTCGAGGGGAATTTAATGAGAATCAGATTCTTCGGCCCAAAAAAGTAATAAACTAAAATTTTCACAAGATTTCAATAGCAATTAATGGATTTATGAATTTTTTCCACAAAACAACATTTTGGGCACACTGTGCAGATGGATGTTTTGATATGCTCAAGAAAACATTCAGATGTTATGCTATGTCGTTACTGGGAGAATTAGAGACAGTGGTAAATGACGGCGATAAATTTTGTAAATTAAACACAGCTGATTGATAAGGACAAAACATTTCAGTCCTTTTTTCAACACTCTCAAGTAAAAAAATATCAACATTTGTTTTGATGTTGGACAAACGGTCAAAGTATTCGTCAAAATAACGACGGAAAACGAAAAGGCAAAATTCAACCTTTGAAATAAACGTAGACGATTTTTCGCAACAATTATCTAATCAAATTATTCTATCTGGCCTTCCACTATAATTCAATTCAATATATATTCTGAAAATAAGTTGTAAAATCTCAAGGACTTTTACAAATAGTACAAGTACTAATCTAAAGTAAAAACCTGCAACATTACAATAAAAGTGATCATAATAACAATAATAATAGTATTGATAATAATTATAGAAATAATATTAACTATAATAATAAGATGACGATGAAGAGGAATATTATTAGTAACAATACTAACAATAATAATAAGATAATATACAATCAATATTAGATAATAGCAATAATAGTGATAAAAACAATTACATAGTATAAGTAGTAAATAAACTTAAGAAAAATGGTATTTATTTAACCAAATTCGTTAGTACGTAAAGGAACCTCTGTAAGACGTAGTTTAGGCTTGTGCTTGTGAAATAATCGTCGAAACACGTGAATTTTCCGCTCAAAAACTGGAATTTTTAACGGCGCTAATAAAGAGGCTTTAAAATGAAATTTTAAATTCGATTAAATTTTTTAAAACGTAATAATTTCTGTTACAACAATTATCTAAATACAACTTTGATAAAATGTAATTATTTGAAAATATATACACATATATATATATATATAAACTATAAATACGTAAACTATTATTTGTAATTATCTATTTAATTTATTTTTATTTTTAATGAAATAGATTTTTAGGAGAAAAGACAATTACATTTTTAAAATTTTAAATAAAATACGGATATACTAAGCTTTTTGCGACCGCTTGAGATCTCAAGGTTATTATTACATATTAATTTATGATGAATTTTTTAATATTTACAGCAGTAGAAAATATTCAGCATTGTTACAGCTTTTTTTCAAAACGCCTTAAGCTAAAAATAAATTCAAAATTAACTTTTTTTACAAAATAAACTAATTAAGATGCCTATATAGGTCATTGAGAAAATAATTTGTAGAATTATGAAGAAATAAGTTTTAAAAAACGTTATACAAATTTTTGCTATTTTTTTTTTTTAAATTGCGTTTCTCTGGAAATACGTAAAAAGCATTTTAAAGCGTTTGGAAAAAAGTTGTAGTATGAACTGATTGTTCCCATCAATGCTTCACGTATAACATAAAAAAAAATGTGTTAATTAAAAATGCTAAGTTTACAGTACTGACGTGTACGTCGGAATTCGCAATTTGATTATTGAAGAACATTCCTAAACAAAAATATACAGCCTCAGTTAATTTTCAATTCATCAGAAAATTGACAAAATACTTTATTAAAATTGTTATAACTAAAATACAAATTAAACATACTTTGTTTAAAAAAATAAAAAGCAGTTAATGATCTTTGTATGTATATATATATATATATATATATATATATATATATATATATATATATATATATATATAAATATAATATTATATAAATATAATATTATATATATATATATATATATATATATATATATATATATATATATATATATATATATATATATATATATATATATAAATATAATATTCAATTAGTCTTTGTAATATAAAACCTATCGGTTTTCAATATTATATAGATACCGTTATTAGTTATTATATATTATTGATACCATTGAAATGAGCATAAATGATTTATGATTTACACGACGATACGTGAATAACTAATATAAAAACAAAAAAACAAAGCTTCAGAAAAAAGAGAGAGTTACTTAAGATTAAGCAAATGCTATGAGCGAGCAGTTTAATAACTCACTCGAAAACAAAACTTCCAAAGTAAATTTATTATCAGAAACGAATCATGTAGCTGAAGCCGCTTTTTTCACTTTACTATTCGTAGTGGCTCTCCTGATGAATTTTGTTGTCATCATATCTTACTTCAAAACAAAATGTCAAACATCGCATCTAAAGCTTCTTTTCAATTTATGCGTAACAAATATAATTGGAAGTGGAATAACATTTCTTTACGGAAAAGGTGACGAATGGTTGCTAAAAAAAAACGTGTGCTTACCGATGCTGACGATTGATATATTTTGGACAATATTGTGTCTATTTTCAAATATCCTAATAATTACGGAATGTCTCATTAGCACAAAACAACAGTACAATAATAAATCATCAGAAACACAATTTATGAACTTTAGATTAACAGTAATATTAATATGGGTTTGTGCAGGAATAGTTGCCATGGTTACTTATATGTTATTACAAAGATCTGAAGACCATAACCTTTGTTATATGTACCAATATTACCGTCAAGATTTATATTCTGCATTTCTTTATGGCTTTGTGATTGTACCTATGTTGTTACTTATTGGTCTTGAATTTTGGATACATAAGATTAAAAGAAAACACGAAAGAACAATAAATGCAGAAAAATCCGAAGAAGAAAATATACAAATAGACATTAGCAACAACAAAGGCGCATTTGTTTTATCGCATTTATTGTTGCTTAACTGGTTACCTTATACGGTTTATATAATTTTATTATTGAATTGGGAGGTTAACAATATATATTTCAATGAAATAACTTATAAAATGTTGAAAATACTAACTTTCTTCAAATGTATGTCATGCTTACTGCAGCCTCTTTCTATTGTATATTTCAATCGTAATATCAATGAAGCTTTTAAAAGGATATACAAAAAAATAGAGGAAGAACTTTTAGGGGAAGAAATAAAACCTGTAAAAAAGAAAAAAAGGTTACAAAGACCGAACAAAAAATCATCGTTAACAAACATACAACCCATAAAACAACCAATTAAATCTTCAATTTCTCTAAGTTCTGCAGAACTTGAAACAGAAATGTGAATCAAACAAATTAGCATATTTTAATTTAAAGAAACTTCTGAGAAATAGTCATTATCTGAAAATATAGTTATTAAACAAAAAGATTTTTTTTTATTCTTATATAAAGTTTTATTCAATTGTTTTGCACAGTTTTTAATTGATTATTAGCAACCGAATAATTTTCTTTACTATATGGTAAAAAATTCAAATTTAAAAAGACCAAACCATTTCGACCTAATAACGCAAAATATTTTGAAAAAAAGAAAAAAACCCAAATAGATTTCATAAGCATAAAAGCATAGAAAGATAGAGAGAAAAAAACTATAATAATAAATATGGTAACGAATCAAGTAACCAACAATACGTTTCGAAAAAAATAATAATAAAAAAGTTTAGTTAAATAAATAGATTTAGTTAAATAAATAAATAGAAACATTAACATATAAATAGAACATATTTTTTTTTTAATGTACTATTTGAAGATATATTTAATAAAAACTGTTTTTTCGTTGCAGAAACGTCGCAAAAACCAGGCATTAAAAACTAAAGAAAAAATCACTAAAAAACTAAATTAATTAATACTGATGTAATTTTACATACCTTTACATTTTTAAACTTTTATTAATAAGGAATTCTTCGTGCACATGATTAAGCCTTTTTATATACACATTTTTTACAGCTTACAACTTTTTAATGTTTTTTTATATAACTTTTAAATATTTTATGTTACACATATATCAAATTATATTTATTTACAATAAATAAATAAACATTAGAATAAAAAAGAGAGAGTTATTTTAAAATTACATTTATTTGAAGAAAATAATAGTTAACTTACTGGCCCACCATTAGTTTCAATTTTTTGAAGAGATAAAACAATAGTGTCTTTTAATGATTTTATAGAGATTTTTCTTGAAATCTAAAAACAATAAAAGAATATTATTATACTTTTTTATATTAATGTTTTTATACTATTATATTTTTTTATAAAACTTTGACCATACCTGTGGCAAAATATTTTTTAATGACTGATTGAAAGAAGTTCCAGTTAAATTGCTGACTTGTACAATTATTTCCAACGTGGGTTTAAATCGTGCATCTACAAGCTAAAACAAAATAGTTTCTATAAAAATGTGACTGACAAACAAATACATAGATGACTAAATAAATATATCCCCACAATAAATAAGAAACACAATTAATTATATGAACTGGAATTAATAGAAACTATAACTAAATGAAAAATTAACGAAATGCAGATCAAGATGGTCCAAATGCATTTAGCAATCTTGAATTTTAATCTGAAAAAATTGCGATAGCTGATTTTTTTTTTCTTTCATTTCCATATAGGTTTTTATGATAAAAAAATGTTCCTCATAAAATTAAATTAATTCCTTAATTAAAACATTTCTTAATTATTTTAATAACTTCTACAAGAAGTTATCTTTTAATTTAAAGTGCAAACATAAATTTATCACAAGATGCCACGAATATTCAGTGATCATTCGACATTCAGCTACTTTTTTTGCTATTCAGTATTCTGTTAAATATAGCAAATTATTCGGCCATATACCGAAAACCAGAATGTAAAAAACACATAAAAAAGAATAACATTTAACTATTATTTTGTTTTAACAAAAAATTAGCATATTTGATACCTAAAATCTATAGGTGGTAAGTTATGATAAAAAAATTTGCATTGTTGATGATAGCATTAATGATAGCAAATAATTGCATTTTCCTAATAAATTGTACATACTTCCAAAAACAGCCATTGTACACATGTACACTGCCACCATCAAATAATAAGAGCATTTTAGCAAGTTCTGTTAAGAAAACGTTTTGTTTTTGCTGACCACCACATGTAAGGGTTTGCTGTCCAATTTAAGCAAACAGTTTTATGTAAAAACCAAATTTTATTTGCTATTCGACTTCTCGACATCTTCATATGTGTGCATAATTTCTGTTAAATTGGTTTGATTGTTTACATTTCTTTTTCTTACAAAATGGAGATGAATCATCATCAATACTAGATACTAGATACATGCTAGATATAGACACAGATAAGGATATTAGACACTGGTGATGGTTCATCGGTGTCCAGTACCTTTTGCTGAGGATTAACATTGAACTGACAACTTTTCACTGAGAAAGATTGTGATGTGTTTCACACGCCACAATCTTTCTCAGAGCATTTTAAAATTATTTTTGTATTGTTAGTTGTGTTTTAACTAATCAAAGGAAATAAGATTTTGAAAATGCATCAATAAAAAAGCATAGTTTAACTTTAATGGGAATGACAACCTTAAAGTTGTCATTCCCATTAAAGTTAAACTATGCTTTAAGTTTAAGTTGTTGTAAAGATATCATTTTTAATAAATTTGTTATTGTTCTATATCTATCCATAGCAACTTCTGTAACTACCTCAGAAATGCAAGATACATCTGAGTTGGTTATTTTTGTAATCTTTTTGATTGGTTTAAAAGGTGTTATTTTATACATAAAATAATCAAAATAGTTAAAATAATTTGATGTAACAGCCGACAAATGTGCTGAGACACTAGTCAGAATAATGAAACAAAAATGACTACAGCATAGTTAACATATCAACTGTTTTTTTATTTTAAATAATATTAGTAAATATAGCATCTTTATTTGTATCTAATACAGAAGATGAATGTCAACAGACAATTGTAAAATAAGGACTGCTTTAAAGCTTAATTGAATGTCAGAAATGATATTGCAACATTGTTACTCGCTTTGCAAGCAATAAACTAATATTAAAAACATTAAATCCTATTTTGTAAACAGGATACATACTGATAAGGTTTTTTAAAAAGAATATTAATTGATAACAATTTTATAACTGAATTGCCTGTATCTTGCATCACATTAATAAATAAATGGATGTCATACATATATACTGGAGTATATTGTTGAGTACTCAACCATATCAATCTATCAAAACTGTTTATAGAAAAACTTAAAAAATCACCTTTAACTATTATTCTTCATCCTATTTTTACCTTTATGAACAAATTTTTATACATGGAGTGTCATAAAATGTTCCCAAGGAATTTTTTTCTTAATTAAATTTATTATTTTTGTTAACTGGTGGTATTTTAAAAAAACACACCCAAATTCATTATGAAATTAAAAAGATGTGACTTATAAACACGATAGCGTTGAGACCCAATACACAGCAATTTAAAATTTGTTAAATTCTATTAATATCATACAGTTCATCCACTTCAAGCCCTGGCTATTTAAAATGGATTTGTGCAGGGTTAACTAAGTTTAATGGCTAATTAATATTCTAGTTAACCTCCTGCCATCATGTCGAAGAGCTTCGTATAGATGACTTGCGAACGTTTACATTTTCGTTTTCAGAAAAAGATGTGTGCGCGTACTTATAAACAGAACAAACAAATATTCAGAAATTTTCTAGTAAAAACATTTTGATATTTGTGTGTTCTGTTAGGAAATTAATTCACTGTTTTATTTTTTAACTAGAATTAAAAATATACAACAAGTTGTTGTGTAGATAGTTACTCAAAAAAGATGTGAAAACAAATGTGGATTTTAAACTTATAGAGTTTCTTTTAGAAAATTAATTTTAAAAGTAGAAGACGTAGAAACTGGATTAAAGTTAATGGAATAGCCTAATCCATCTGATTTCATAACTCCAATTTCTAGTTCAATTTAAAAAAGAAAAGAGAAGAGTATTTGACTATTAATACTATCATCTGCAATATAGATCTTGATAACTATACTAAAAAAATATATTATGATACCAAACCACCTAATTATAAGTCTACTATTTCTGAATATTATCAACACATTATTTGTAATATTTATAAATATTTACAAATATTTTAAAACTTTTACTTTCAATTAATGTAGCACAAAACTTAATTGAATTATTGAACTTAAAAAAATAAGCGTTACTTAAACAAAGTTAACATATTTCATGCAAAATTCAAACATTAGATGAACAAAAGAATTTTTTTTAACCTTAATCTTAAATAATGTTGATGTTGCTATGCAAAAGAATTAAAACTTAGTTCACTTGTGATTGTTGTTGGAGGACCATGGAGGACCATCTTAATATTGTGCTTATAAAGCTAAAACAAAGTCCATCAAATAAAAATACTGCTCTTCTACAATAGTATAATATCTTAAAAACAATAATACCAATTTTCTGCTAGAGTTTCCAATCTAATTTTTGGTCAAATTGTTAAGCAATAAAGAATGACCTACAAAAATGTTTTTGAAAAAAAGTTTAAAGACTGTTTGTATTATTGAAGTTTTTATTGCAAGAAAAAAATTGTGACCTTACAATAATAAACGTGGTTCAGTTACAAACATATTTAAACTTGTAACTGGTATAGTTAGTTTATTATCTGCTGGCTGGAGTGGTTGTGTACTGAAAGTTTAATATATATCAAAATAAACTTTTATCAAAAGCTTAAAACTACTTGCTGACAGAGTGTGCTGATTTCTATTGCTTACTACAGTTATTTAATATCTTTTGTGTTTCTTTTATGTAAAATAATTTGACTGTATCTAACATATTTATTAATTTGCCGAATAAAGTCTTCTATACCAGCTTGAATTTTAATTTACTACTATTAATTTACTTCATAGAGGATTCAATACTAAAGATGGTATCTGTGCAACATTAAAAATCATAGCTTTTACATAAGAGTATAATTATCTGAAAGCAAAGTAATCTAGACAGTTTTCTAATGTTCCTATACAGGGTTGCAACTGTAATTTTTAAAGTTTTTCCCTGAGTTTTCCCTGAGTATTCCCTGAGTAAAGAACGTTTTTCCCTGAGTTGAACTCTTTAAGTTCCCTGACTTTTCCCTGACTTTTCTATATTCTTTCCTGTTCATCAACAAGATTATTATTTTCCTTAATTAAACACAATCTTTATACTTGACAAACTAAAACTTTTACACCCACATCTTGTAACTTATCATTATATGTATTAGCAAAATATTTTTGAAAAAAAAATTATTGTACAAAATTTCAAAAAAAAAATATTTTCCCTGAATTTTATAAAAGTTTTAAAAAATCCCTGAGTTTTCCAAGTTTTTCCCAGGGTTTTGTGCTATTTCCAGGTATTCCAGGTTTTGCAAGGTTGAGTGGCAACCCTGATACTATATATGTGAATATAGGAATTTGATGTATAAAATGTTTCTTATTATTTATATGACTGTGTGGATCACTCAATTTATTAAATAATACTATGGGTAATATAAAAATGCATTTGTTCTTCTTAATATGGGTGTTGTTAATTAATGTAAATGTATATTATCATGGTGGCCAGCAAATTTTCATGTTCATTTTCCATGAATTTTCCCTGACTCTTAAAAAAATTATTTGACTTTCCAATGAAATTAATCAAATTCTATGACTTTTGCAAAACTTAATTTTCTAAATTTTGCAGGATGTCCAGCAATCTGCTTTTCTATTAAGTAATTTATAGAGAAGCATTTTTTACAGATTAAAAATTTAAATATATTTAAAGGAGGGAATTTCGTTTTAATTCCTCTTTCGTCTTTTTTTTTATTTACTTAGATTTTTTATAATGGCATATTTTTTCCAAAACTTGGTCATTTGAATATGCTGTAAACTTTCCTAACATTTCTGTTGATTTGTCACTGCTTATGGTTACAATTAGCAATTTTACAATATAAAATAGTTTTTTATGATATTATTTACTAAGTTTCAAAAGAATTTCAGAAAGCAAACTTTAAAAAACTCATAAGAACTTTGTTTTTGTTTTACAAGAGAAATTTGAATTTAAAGTTTGCAGAAAAACTACTTGAAATTTAATGAAAAGAAATTCAAAAAACACTTGTTTGTGCGTTTTTATATAATAAACTTATGAATGTATTCTTATAAAGTTTAAATTTTTTCTGCCTAAAAGTATGAGCGCAAATGCTGTTTACAAAAAGGTGTGACATTGCACAAAAAGTCATCTATAGCGGTGGCCATAAATAAAACTGTTAAGCTGGAGAACTATTTAAATCTATAAATTAAAGCTGGGATGGTGTTGATGCAAACAATGAGACAATGCTGTATCATTTTAATCAACAAAATGTTAAAGGCATCTACTTGAAAAAGCCCAGGCTCTATGGACAGGAACCCGATAAATCATAAAAGGTTAAGAAATAGTAAGGCAAAGATAAAACTATTTTACTTTAAAATACCTAAATGTAAAAACAAATATAGAAGTTTCTTCAAAATTATTTACATTTAGACTTATGAGAAATGCAGAGACTATTGTGAACTTGTGAAAAAAATCAGACCATTAAAAATTAACAATATATGGAAATTTTTCAGGTTTTTGGCAAAGATATTTTGCTACATGAAATTCAAGTTACATTTCTCCAAAATCAGGCAAGTTCTTATTCTGAGTGATAAAATACACAAAGAGATCAATAGAATGGCTGACTACTTTCTCTCTCCTGGGCATCATAGTTTTTGACCTGCGACTTTTAAAGTAAAACTTAGTTTCATAAGTTTGTATATTATAGTCTAATTATTTAAGAATAACTTAATAATAATTAAAAATAATAAAAGTAACAAATTGTTTAAAAACAGCAGTTTGCAAAACGGTTTAAAGTCAGATGTAAAATACAAAGAAAATAACTCTAAACCAACTTTTTTTCACTGAGAGATTTTTTTTTAATTAGTAGAAATATAATATAAATGAAATCAATTGAAATAGCACTTTGATTTTATCTTCAAAATAAAATGTAATAATTTTTTAGCAATCTCATTGTAAACCTTATTTTATCTTCACAAAATTATTTTTAGTATTACACTTTTAAGATCAACAAGACTATTGGCAGATGTATATCAAATATGACCTGCTGCAGAGGTAAAGTTCAAACCATAGTAAAACAATATAAGGTGTTTGGATCCATTAACCATGGTGCAGGCATTAGCATCTTTTGACAAAGATTACTATATAGAAATGGTAAAAGTTCAATATTCAATCCAAAAGGAGGTCTGAAAAGATGTAAAAATGGATAGAATCAAAGGTGAAACCCTTCTGAAAGCAGTTTTTGTTGATAAAGACCAGCCACTAGGCCTTGAGTTGTACATTTCATCAAATTCCTGGTTAATTTTTAATATTCTAGGTCATAGTTTGTCATATATTTTCAATATATGACAAACTATGTAAGTATTAAGACAACTATATAGTTGTCAATTTTTGATATTCTAGGTCATAGTAAGTCATATAATGAGTTTCAAAGTTTGTAAAAACTTTCAAAGTTACTAAAAACTTTGTAAGTTTTTAAATCAGAACTCACAGCAAAATCGTAAATCTATTGACCATAATTTAAAAAATTTATTTAAAATTAGAAGCTACTTCAAATAAAGAGTTCTTGTAAAAAACTGTTAAAAAAGAAGAAGAGCTAGCTACGGAGACTACTCACTCACTATTGGTCATTAACTCAACAATTTGAATGGCTTAATAATTTGAATTTTGATTCAATACTTAACTGCAAACTGTGAAGTTTAAAAATACATTTAAAAAATATTTTGCCACATATTTTTTTGAGATATTTGGTTTATGCTGAAAATTTATGTGTGTACACACACACACACAAACATAAATTTAAAGCAGACAATAAGTTGTAGTTTAGCTGTTTTGCGACATGAAGCAAGCATAAACTATCTAGTTAAATGCTCTTCTGCTCTGTTATGCGACCATTAGGTCTTCTGCGGTGCTCTGTTATGCGACCATTAGGTCTTTTTGGAGCACCTAAAATAACCACACAAAAAATGTCTATATATATTTATATTTTTGAAATACATTAATACATTTTGATCTAGTTTAGTTTACAACAAAAGATTGAAAGTCCTTTACCAATTTTTTAAAGTAACTATTAGGGGTTTGGATTTATTTGATCTAAGGTTTCAATAACAGTATCTTTTAAAAAAACATCATTTGATGTTAAAATGAGGAAAAAATAATAGTTAATCACATGACCAGAAATTACCTCAAAAATCAACAAAAAATCACTTTACGATAGCGAAAGTGTTAATTTATGTATCGTAATAAGTGAAGATAGGTACTATATTTTTAAAATTGAAAAGCACAGTGTTTTTTTTTTTTGTGTAGAAACACATAAACAAAATATTGTTGAAAAAATTAAATGAACTAGAGTTCAGAATCTATTTGCGCCAATACTTAGAAATTTGTTCAAAATCACAAAAAGTGTAACTTCAAACAATTTCTACAAGTATTTCTAACGAGAAAAAATAAAAAATAAAATTTTTTTTCATACAAATATGATCTATATGACACTCATTAGCTACTCCACATAAAATTTGATTATCGAAAAAAAAATTAAGGGAATGGCTATTCAACATTCAATGGAAAATATTTCATTTCAGTGAATTAAAAAAGACAGAAAATCAAAAATGCCAAACCAATATTAACTTTAAAGCAAATTAATTGTCCTCGAAGTACAAGATTAAAAATATAACTTTTGTATAACACAAGTATAACACTTATTTCAACATCTGAAAGTACATAATTTAATTATTCCAAACTTTATATTACTTACTAAAGCATTTTTAAAAGGTGATGTAAGTTTTGGTAGTAGAGGCACAAGTTGAGCATTTGCATTTTTTACCATTAACAACTGCATAAAACCTTCGTAGGCCAAAAATGAATAAGGATGTAAAGTTTCCTTTAAACCCTGCAAATGAAAAATTTGATTTCAATATAGTTTTGAAATTGTAATTAAATTTTAATGTAACATATATAATAATAATAATAATAATAATAATAATAATAATAATAATAATAATAATAATAATAGTCATAATAATAATAATAATAGTAGTAATAATAATGATAATAATAATAATAATATACATAACTTGTAGCAAATGCTAAAGCATTTGCAAGCAGGGCAACTAACAAAGCCACGCTATGATAAATGTTAATTCGTTTTTTTTTTTAATTTAAAATTTTGGAAAAAATAAGTCAAATTGACTTTTAAAAGCATTTACTGATGCGGCAGATACAATGGAGTTTGGAAGGATGTTCCAGTCAGGTATGATGTGATTACAGAAAAAGAATTATCTTTGTAAACAGTTAGCTACTGCTTGACGTTGAAGACAATGACGATGGCCACAGAAGCAGTTGGCTGTTCCTTGCACATTTAGTGGTGGAGCTAGTGAGTTTGGTTTACAAAGCTCAACTTCGTTAATGTTGTAGTATAGTTTGAAATACTGTATTATGTCACCCCTACGTCTTCTATCCTTAAGCTATTGAATGTTAATTGTAGCTAGTCTTTGGTGATAACTTAAAGGCTTGAGATGAGGTACAAGCTTAGTGGCTCTTTCTTGCACTGATTTGAGAGCATCTATGTCTTCGCAATAATAGGGGTTCCAGGCAGCAGAGCAAAACTCGAGATGTGGTTGTTCATAAGTTGTATAAAGTACACAAAAGCTGTTAATGTCCCAATAGTGGATTGTTCTTTTTAACATGCCTAGTGCCGTACTGGGATTGGCTACAGTGTGTGCCAATTGCTCTTGCCACTAAGATTGGCTATTGAAAATGATACCAAGATTACGCTTGGTGGTAGTCTCACTAAGGCTGTGACAGCAGTCAGCTATGGTAAACATTACATGCGAGCCAGGCAAATCGTCAATAAATGCAGTTTAAAGGCGGTTGTTAACTCTCTTTCAAAGAACATAATAATAATAATACAATCATTAAAGGAGTTACTGCATCAAAAGTTTATAATGTTGTTCATAGAGTAAATAATGAACTAGAAATCTTATGTTCAGAAAAATTAACATCTATTATTATTGGTGTATTAAGTAAGTCAAAGTTTTTTCAAACGAAAGCTACTTCTTGGGGTTTACGTCATGAAAAAGATGTACTTGAAGCATACTGGAAAAAAAAAAAAAAAAACATAGATTTATGAAATTGACTGAATGTGGTTTATTTGTAAATAAAGATTTACCAATAGTTGGTGCATCACTAGATTCCCTTGTTCATTGTGATTGTTGTGGCACTGGATGTGTAGAGGTTAAATGTCCTTGGATTCATAGAGGTTTAACTATTCCAGAATTTGCCACTATCAAAGGTACCTGTTTAATTTTTGAAAATAACACAATTGTTCTTGATCGTCAACATTCTTATTATAGTCAAGTGCAGTGTCAAATGGCCTTAACAGGTTTTTCATATTGTGATTTTGTTGTCGGAACTTCAAAAGACTTATTTAGTTATCATGTTCCTTTTTCAAGTGATTTTTGGCAAAGTTGTGTTTAAAAAATTGAATTGGCAGTTTTAGAAGTTAACGTACTTGTAAACTTCCTTTTGTTTTTAAGAAATGGTGGTATTTCTAATTTAACTTTTCTGGCAATTAATAGATCACTGATATTGAATCCTTTATCCACCATTACAACATCTCCTTCATTTAATGTGTCTGGATAGCCTGATGTTTTGACATATATCAGTCTGAAAATGGCCCACCGTATGCTTGAGAAATATAATTAATCATTTCGGAAGGTGCTATGCTGATAGCTTTTTTCCAAGTGTTTTGATTTTTGTAACTCGAATATGTTTGGGCTTGTGCTTTAGCAATACTTGGTCGCTCACATTGACCTTCTGTGCAGTCTAATATCGACACCACACTATCTCCAAAAGGCCTAAAACATTCGGGATAACAAGTTTTATTTTGCTCCCGAGTAACTGGCTGGATAAAAATTTTAAATTCGAGTGCTAAAATTTTAAATTCGAGAAACAGTAGCTTTTGAAAGACCAAAACGATAAGCCATGTCTTCATAGCTACAGCCCATTCGAATCTTCATTAAAGTCAAAAGCATAAGGTCTTTACCGTTCATTTGTTGTAATGGACCAACAATTTTCATGTTGCTTGATTTGTTGCTTGGACCGCTTTTTGAAATGGAGCCACGGTAGTTTGTCAGAAATGGAACTTTATGTTGAAAGCGCTTATACAACCAATCATACATTAAACCTGTTTGCATACCTGTCATATTTTAATTAAAATAAGTGAAACTGATACGTCAATAACGTATCAGTTTCACTTATTTCAGAGTAAGATAATCTTTGCGACTTTTTAATTTTATCCTTTAAACCAATAATTTCTTCATTAAGATTTGTTATTGTTTTATTTGCCACGCCAAGTTGGTTATATAAACTAAAACAATCATCTTGCTTTTTTCGTAAAAGTAAATAATCATCTTTTTGAAACATCCTGCACCGAGCACTGCTTTCCGCATCAGTAACACAATAATTATGAAAATCATTAGTTTCTGTAGTCCCTGTATATACTTGTATATCTGTATATCCCTGTATATCTTGTATAGCTGTATTAAAATGATTAGTACTGCCAGAATGGGATGGCGTTTTGAGTTTTTTTATCTTTTTCTGGTGGCTATCTAATATTTGGTGGTTTACATTTAACTTTCATTTGTCATGTTGTATTCTTGAATGTATAAAGTTGGTACATTGCATTCTGTATTGTAATAACCTGCAGCAAAGTGGTTAGAGCAGACTTGAGTAGATCTACACGAGCAACAAAATTACTTTTCTTGCCGTTTTTATCCACAACTGTTCTATTTATTGACTTGGCCCATAGCTTTGCATCTTTAAAATTTTTGGGAGAATGCCATCGCAGCATGCCTACATGACTTTTGATAACACGCCTAAAAAAAATGAGATTTTAAAAACACTTCTACGACTTTCTGTTTAATTATGTTATTAAAATCACCATCATTCAAGACAACAAAATTTATTAGTAAGAAAACAGATAATCTTGTATTTCATTATGATCGATAAACATAACAAACAAAAAATGACCCCACCTCCTAAAAATGTTCTCGGCACGGGTCTAGTCGATTAGCAAAGATCTTGAAAATGTATAGCTCATTTATTTATGAAATCAATACATTGCTACAATGTTTTAAAACCAAAACATTTTATTCAACTTTCCTTAACATTTAATCTAACTTTTTTATTTTCACATGCGTGAAAGCATTTTCACATGAGTCAATAGTTATAATGCTATATAATAAATTTTTTTAATAAAATGCTAAATTTAATTAGATAATTTTACTTAATTTTCTTCATCATTTCTCCGATAGTTACGCCATCCAAAAACAGCACAGTAATCTTCATTAATCTTTTTTTTTACTAATTGCTGACATTTTAATTTGGTATTTACGTTTTTATAACAATTTACAAAACTATTTTTTCTTCTGAGCATTCGCTATAAAAGCAATGTTTTAAATTACCTGCTATAAAAGCAATGTTTTAAATTGCTTGGAATATTAAATAGTGTACTGAGTGCTACTATGTGTTTCGAGTCAAGTTCTTTAACAAATTAAAAAATGACTCAAGTATTAATAACTATAAAACACAAAAAACCATCATCATCATCTCTAAATCTATTAACTAATATTCGTGGTCTTCGAAGTAACTTTTCTTCTGTTGAGTCTTATCTCTTGCAAAGTTCACCAGACCTACTTGCTCTTTATGAGACCAATTTGAGTTCAGCTGTTTCATTTTTTGATCTTAGTGTTAATGGTTATCTTCTTTTAATTCATAAAGACTCCAATTGCATGGGCATCTACATCCGTAAGAATTTAACCATTTGTCTGGAAACTAGGTTTGAATACACAGATATTCTTTTATGTGCTTTCGTTTAGCACCACTTCACTATACTGCCTTTCTCTTTGTTCTATATCGTTCTTTTTCATCTCAAGACTGCACTTTTTTCAAAATTTCTGATCAAATTTTCCCTCTCTCTTTTCTACAGCTTGTGCTCTAAATAGTCTTACAGAAGTGTTCTCCAGAGTTGTCGTCTATATTTTCAAAACTATTTAACAAGTACTTATCAGATTCTTGTTTTCTAGCCTGCTAGAAAGTGGCATCTGTTATCCCTATTTTCAAAAATTCTGAAGAGCAATGTTATTCATCTTACCATCCAATTAGTCATCTTACTATCATAAGCAAAGTTTTTGAGTCTTTAATTAATAAACAAATAATCTCTCATTATGAATCTAATAACTTACTTTCTGATCGTCAATTTGGATTTTGATTTTCTCGTTCTACTTCTCGTACTACTACTTTTCTTTTGATCAAAGAAATAACATTTTTGAAAACATTAAAAATTTAAATAATAAAATCTAAAAAAATTTTTAAAACCTCTGCAAACGTAAGCAATAAAGGATCAAATTCTAATGATTCAGGAGGTTTTGTCCATTGCAATGAGTGTTTAACTGAACCATGAACTAAACTAAAAAAAAAAAATTATCAATATAATCTCAATAATAAGCTAAAAATGTTTAATCAAAAAACAAACACTTTTACCGGCAAGGGATAGCACCTCTAGCATAAGCTGACATAAATATTGAATTGAGTTCTTTTTTGTTAAACTGAAAAGTTGTATAAAATGGTGTGCAATATGGAGTGCAATATGGTGCTTGATCTTCTCCATAAATTATATTACATAAATTTATATATCAAAAATATTCTTACAGGGTCAACTGTTTTTGGATTTAATCGATCAGAAACTTTGAATGACTGTTCACACTTTGCTGGTGTTTGCTCTTTTACTGTAGAACTTTTTATTCTTTTAGGGGATGCAACCACAATATTTGATGCCATAAAAATTTTTGTATGCTATACAACTGCAAAACTATTAAAAATTTATTCTCAATTTAAAATAGCAAGCATAAAATTAATTTTTAATTACATGGTTTTAAAGTAATTAAAAATGTATTCAAAATGATAATACAAACTATTTATATTTTGTAGATAAAAAACCCAAATTTTTCAATAATGATTTTTATTTTAAATAAAATTTAAAATAATAATTAAAAGTTTTTATTAAAATAAAGTATAAAAAAAAAGTTATAAATAAAATAAGAGTCATTACCATAAGCTTTTTAAATGTTTAACCATGGAAGAATATTGCGTATATTTATATGTACAACCCTCGGATTTAGGAAAAATGAGGTCGGCAATTTATTGACAATCTCAAACTGTTATAGGTTGGCATCAGGTCAGCCAATTTAAAAAAATTTGAAATCAGGTCAGCCAATTTTAAAATTTGAAACAAAGGGGTTACCGTAAAACATAGAAACAAGGTTGGCAATTTTTTACCGACCTCAACACTTCTAAGTCAGAATGCTGACCCTAATTCCATAAAATGATTTATGAGAGGTGTAAAGGTTTATAAGAGATATAATAATTTATGAAAGGTATAATTGTTTATGAGATATAATGGTTTATAAGAGATATAATTATTTATAAGAGGTATAATAATTATAGTTTTAATTTGAAATCTAGGATAAAATAGTTTAATTTGTTTGAATACTAATTTATTACTATGGGGCTGTCATTGATTATGTCAACATTTGTTTTGGCAATTTTTACTTTCCCATCTCCTTTGTCAACAACTTCCAGAGACCATCTCTATAAAATTCAACACTCAATACCTCTCCCCCTTCCTTTAATAACCAATTTTTATTATTGATTTATTATGTTTGTTTTTTTTCCTTGATTAATTTTAAATTTACTTAAATTAATTTTTTTCAGACAATTGTTAAATAATCAATTACCTTTAAGAAAAATAAATTATTATTACTATTATCTTTAACTTATTTTTTATAGTTTTTCTCGTTTTGCTTTATATATTAAATGAATTAATTTTGAAGATAGTGTTGAATATTTATCACAATTTATGTACAGTACACAATCCGTTAAGGTACCATTTCTTCACACTTCAACTTCAGACCTAATCCAATTTAACCACAGGTTACCAATCCCTGTTATAAATATTTAAATAATTTAATGTACAAAAACTATGTACAAATCTTTTTAGTTTGGACAGCAGACTAACCAACAACAACTTTGAAAAAATAATAGTATTACGAGTAAACATTATGTGTGTGCTTATTTAGTTCTGTGTGATTTGGGTCCTTATAAAGCACAACACCATTTTTAAAAGGTAGGAATGTAAATAGCTTTATTGAAATATTGAAGGTTAAGCGATTGTGTAACACAGGATTGCAAATGCTGCCTAATTCTCTTTTTTTTAAGTAATTAAATATATTTTAAAAAGTAACATAGTTGACATCAACTTGTCTTGATATCCCCCCTCCTCCTTGTCAACAAATGTAATAAGAAAAGGACCCCCTTCCCCCCCCCTATTTTATTGACATAATTAATGGACAGCCCCTATCTATAGCCCTATATATAATAGACAATTATTAAAACATTATACACAATAAAAAATAAACAATTTATTATATAAAAATGTATTACTTCAATAATTTATTGAGAAAAAAATGTGTTTGCATAGTAAGACTTAATTAAATAAAATTTAGAACCATTATTTACAAGTAATGTTGTAATGAACTTAAAAGGTAAATCATATTAATAAAACACTATACTGTGGTATAAACATTTTATAAAAGAAATTTATTTCTAAAATAACTTTAATAAAATTTAATTCTGTTTATATGAATTAGATAATTTAATAATTTTATTAATTAATTAAATAATTTAATTATCTAATTCATATAAACAGAATTTTTATTTTATTTGTACCGGATATTAATTTTACTTTTAAAGTTTAAATCAAAAATCACAATCAAATATATACTACAATGTAATAGTATACTACAAGGGCAAAGCATACAATAGTATTTTCAAATAAAAAAATAATTTCAACTTCCTTTTCTTTGGTGGCGATAAGAGATGTGGGGGAGGGGGGTAAGAGGGTGTTAAAGAAGCTAATTTAAATTCAGGTGTTAAAAATTTAAAACTGTGCATGTTTGAAAGCATTTGCAAGAAATTTGAAAAAAGATTTAAATAGGCTTTTATTTTTTTTAGTTCATTATTTTTACACAAAATTTTTTCTTTAAGCTAAAAATTCTAGCAACCATTTTTTTCAGATTAAAAATTGCTGACCTCATTTTTTCTCATTCCGAGGACTAATTTTTTAGACTTATATTAAAAAATTTTATTATAAATTTCTTACTAATTTCCTTCAAACTTAAGTGTATTTATGTATTAATAAGTGTATTCGTTATATATAATAATTAGTTAATTTACATTTCAGCAATTTTGTAGTTTTATGAGGCCCACAAGTTTAAACAGTTACACAAACAACAAACTTTACAAATTTCTGCGTACTTATCTTATTTTTAACTCGATTGTGGGGTAAACAGTACTTCCGCTTAACTTATGAGTTGTTTTAGAACCTCTATAATTGACAATAAATATTTAACACTTGGTAGTTTTAAATGTACTTTAAGAAAACTCATTCTACAAATGTGCTTATACACACAACTCAATAGTTAAGTGAAAATACACTTTATATGTACTAAAGAACAAAACTTTTAGAAAAAGAGTCCCTAGAATAAAAAACAACAATAAATCTATAATACATTTAATATAAATACATATAGTTACATATTACTAAATAAAAATTTGAATATAGTTAGGATTTTTCATTAATAAAAGCATAAAAATCTGCAATAGAAACTTCGTCACCTTTAGTTGCAAGCAAATCTAAACCCATGTGCTCATCCCACTTCCACAACATTCTTCTAGAAATACAATACTTTACATTAGCTATAGAGTCTTTAGTACCTTCAAAAACTGATTCTTTTGTTTCAGCATTGTAAAAATAAAATTTGTTTGAAGAACGAGTTTTTTGCAAATGCCATGGCTCTTGCAAGCGTTCAACCAAATATAATCCTGTTGGAACAAAATACTTTTCAGAAGAAACATTGTAGGTAAGTCTTTTTATTAAATGTGGTTTCATGTGTCTGATTTCCATACTTTTGAAGGTTTTTTCCAAATCAGTTAATGCATAATATGGTTTTATTTGGATAGGAACAATATCATTTCGACATGGTTTTGAAAGTGCTTTTACAAATGATTCACAACATTTAATTCTATCACTGAAGGCTTTATCTCCTACGTATTCATCTCCAAGATAAACAGCATCAAGTATATGTACTGCAAACATCTTACGCTGGCCTCGTCCATCGCCTTTAAACTCATTAAGTAATTCAACATCAATCAAAGTAAACCTTGGCAGCTCTAAGTTCATTTTATCAGCTCTTTTCCAATCAGGATAAGAATGTTCAGTGGGATCCCACTTAAAAATATTATGCCTGCCTAAACTAAATAAAAAAACACGCTTACCCCCTGAAACTGTAAACTTGTAGTCATAAACACTTTTTATTCTTTTTAAAGCTTTTAAATCAAAAAATTCACTATTTTTACTCATCCATTCAGTTGAGGAATCCTTCATAAGTTTTTCAAACTGAACATCTGGATCATTTTTAGGGGGGCTAGACCGAGCTATTAGAGGAATTTTCCATGCTTCTAAACATTGTTTTCGAACGACTGCATGATCAGGTCCAGTTAAATTTGTATTTTGAACAAATCTTGCAACCTTTTGTAGCCCTAAAATCTGTCTTGCACCAATTGAATTGTTAGAAGTAAACATGTAATCAAAAAATTCTTTACTTTCTTTAATTATAGATAATGGAACAATTTCCTGAATGTCTCTTTTAGTTCCTTTCAAATTGTTAATTTGGTTGTTAATACTAAACATATAATCATGTATTGCACCAGAGTTTTCACGTAAATCTTTACAAATTAAATAACGTTCTGAATTAGCAGGACGACTAGTAACAGGCTTAAAAATACAAATTTGATCAAAAGCTCGATACATTAAATAAACAAGACCAATACTAAATGGAGTAAACAAGTCAAAGACTTTGCATATAAAATGACCACCTTTTCTTAAAACTGATAAAGCACAAAGAAACTGACATAAATAAAGCTGTTTGGATAATATCTCCTGAATATTCTCCTGACCTTCAACAGAAAAACCTCCATCAGCCATAACAAAATGTAAACCTTTATTATCTGAGTTTTCCAGCACATATTTTCTAAAAGCAATAAGGTTTTCTTTCTTGAATATATCTCCATCACCATTATAACCTCCTTCTCCGTAAAAACAATCAAACGATTCTGGTGTTCCTGCAATGTAATCAGCAAGATTAAAATCATTAGCCCACTCAGCTTTAATGGTCATCCCGAAACCTTTCGCCCTCCATTTTGATCTCCAAAAAACATATTCTGAAAAACCTCCAGGGCCGGCACAAATATCAGCAAAGTAAAGCAGGTCTAAAGGGTTATTCAAGTCTCTCTCAATGTGGTTAGTAAACATATAATCAAATGATGCATCGATTTCTGCCATTTTCATAGCTGCACGGTTTTGGAAGATAGCACCTCTAATAGTTTCATATGGATTAGCTCTTGTGCGGGCATGAAGAAATTCTTTTTGGCCTAATTTATCAAACACATTTTTATTTTTAATAATACCATCTAAAATATCTGGCTCACAAAACTCATACTCATCTGTAATAAATTCTTTTCTATCAGACTCAATCATCCAATTTCTCATTTCAGAAGCATTTGGCATGTCTAACTCATTTTTTGGAACCCAGTCAGGGTCTTGACGAACCATTATTTTTTCTTCAACTTCCCAAGAAGCATCTGGTTTTGCATCAAGACCATCCAGTTTAAGACCAAGCCCTCTTCTGCCTCGTTGATTTGATGCCTCTATTATATTCACACGCCCAGTTTCATTTTTACCTAAACCTTTCCCTTTTGCATAACCCATTTTTGACATCATTCGTTGTGCAACTGAACTGTAACTTGAAACAAAATTATCAGAGCAATCATCTTCTTTTGATTTCTTTTCACTTGGTTCATTATCAAATGAATGTTTTCGTTTGCGTTCCATTTTTGTAAATAATGAGTACCTTAAATATGAAATTGTCATGGATATATTATGTAGGAAAATAAATATTATGATATAAAAATTATTAGTACTATACACATGTCAACAAAAAATCAAATAAATAATTAACATAGTTAAAATAACACAGCAAAAATAAAACACAATAAAAACGTAATACACTGATAAAACTGATAAATAATTGAATCTATCCTGTAACAATATAAACTAAGATTATAAACTTGGAAAATTATGAACTGTTAAGCCTATGAACTTATGAACTGTTAACCTTTAAAAGATACGCACCTTAGATTATTTGTTTAAAGATATGCACTCTAGTTTGTTAGTTTAAAGATATGCACCCTAGTTTGTTAGTTTAAAGATATGAACCTTTATTAACTGTTTTAAATATTTGACCTACATTATGAATGAATGTGACATACAATGAATGACAACACATAATAAGAGGAAAAATGACATACATTGAAGATGAAATATAATAAATGCAACATGCAGTGAAGATGTTACATAATGAAGACAAAATAGTGATAATGACTCCTAATCAGAAGTTATAAAGATAGTATTAAGTTATGATTTGAAAAAAAAAACATCAAATTTTATTCAAAATTCAAATAAAAATTCTTTCAAAAAAAATCAGTAAAATTGACATGAAAAATGTAGTTACTAGTAACTTATAAATAATAAAAAATTAGGTCCAAAACAATGTCAACATATGGGCAGCTAAAGGGGATCACCTATCACATGTTTTTTTTATGTTTGTAATTATGTATGTCAATAACCTTGTTTTAATACTGTTATAACTGCTCTCTGCTCTAATTTTAAACTTCAAGTATAATATTTTTTAAGAAAAGAGACATTCTTTCCAGGTATAGAAAAAATACACCTATATATTCTTAAAAAATGTGCAGATAGCAAAGTAAATCCTTATTTATTTGTTTCAATAGTTCATTAGAAACAGGAAATTTACCTAAACATTGGCTGTCCCCAAACATTACTCTGCTAACAAAGGTGACTTTAATGACATATCTTAAATGAAAGTATATATATTTGATGATACATCTTAAATGGAAAACAAGCTGGGCATCATAAAGCATTTGCATAACATGACCGAATTGCAATGAGACTATTGTATATGCCTTTTTATAGGCCATATTTAGAACACCTATAATAAGTATGGAATCAATATTTCAAAAAAGACATAAACTTAAATACGTAAAAAAATTAGTAATAAAATTAGAAAAAATCCAGCATAAAGATACTAAAATACGTATTCTTAGAAAAATCAGTTATAGGAAGCAACTTCAAATTCTTAACTTAAAAAGTTTAAGCAAACAAAGAAGTTATATTATTCAAATGTATAAATTCATCAGAATTGTAGACATTATTAATTCACACACACCACACAAAAGGTCAGAATCAACAGCTACAACAACAAATAGTTACAAATTCTCTTTAAAGATTCAATATTTTTCACATATCACATTGTTGAAAGTTAAAATAGATTGTAGACACATTAACTTCAATAAGTGAATTTAAAAATAAATTAGTATAATTAGGTCCAACATGATTTTAAACTTATGATGTCAACAACAGATGTTAAACTCTTCTACAGTATTTATCTAAAAATAAATCCACCTTATAAATATAGATCCACTCTTTAAATATACATCTACTCTTTAAATATACATCTATCCTTTAAATATAGATCCACCCTTTAAATATACATCCACCCTTATAAACCGCCTTAAGCTGCCCATGGTTCCATGCTATAGACCTATTTAATTTTAGAGATAAAATAACATCAAACTATAAGATAAAATTAAAATTTTTATTTAAAATTTTTCAATTTATAAATTCATTAATTCGTTTAAATATATAAAAAACATGTTATTTTATGAATTTATAAATTGAAAAATTTTAAATAAAATTTTTAATTTTATTTTATAATTTGATATTATTTTATAAATCATATAATGTTTACAGTTAAAACAAGTTAAATAAAAAAATAAAGCTTAGTTTATATTTATAATTAATATTAATACTTAGTTTATATTAATAATATTGTTTCTATTCTAGAAATTCATAAATGATCTTAGATGATTTAGGATATCTAAAGACAGTTAGAGAATTAATACAAAAAATTCAAGAACTTTCAACTCTTTTACTCAAAAAACAGAGAAAAATAAAATTCATCCGTGTTTTAATATTTGGTAGTTATAAAATTGATATAAATTCATTTAAATAAAACTTTTGTGTATTTAAAATTTAAATCCATAAATATTAAAATAACCAAAAATATCTGTTAAAAAAATAAAAATAAAACCAATAAAATTTAAATAACCAAAATAAAAATGCATGCAAATTAGTGGTCGACAGGCACTAATATTTTGCTGGAACTGGAACCTAGCAAAATTAGTTTTTTACTTTATTTGCAGGAATCAGAACTGAAAATATATGCAAATCATAACCAGAACTAAAAATTAAATAACATCAGAATTCAATTACTGGAAAATTTAAAAGTCAATTTTAAATTCTAGTCTATCTTTTTTATTTGCTAAGACTTTTTGTTGTCTTTAAAGTTTATTGTACAAAAGAATTAGAATGCATAAAATAAAAAAAGAGTTTCAAACACTTTCCAATCAGCTTATCTATAATGGCATCTAAAACATTTTTTATTACAAGTTGAAAGTTTTTATGTTTAAAATTAAAGCAAACAAAAAATTATTTACTTTCAACTCAGATAATATCTATTCTACATAAAATCTTTTTTTGGTAACCTTTTGAACCAAATTTTTGATAATTGATTTTATAAAATTAAGATATTGAAAATGATATCTAAATTCTAGTTTGAACCTAAACCAAAATTTTGTTCTCCACCATTATTATTGCCAGAACAGAAACTCAACTAAATGACGGTCGATCACTAATGCTAATATATAAAACATTTCAATTTCAATAATATATAGTATAACTTTAAAGAGACGTGTTAAATGAATAATCGACTGTGGCTTTAACAAATGCTATGGCTGCCAATTCCTAAAAAAAAGTATAATTAGATATGAAAAATTGTTACACACAAAACATACCCTAGCCAGTTAAGGAGATATTTTAGACACATACCCTAGCCATTAAAGCACATAACATTTTAATGTTTTTATTTTTATTTTTTAATACAACCATTTTTAACATAATATTTTTAATTTATGCTCTACATTTACATTTAAATTTTTTTAATAAAATTTAATTTAATATAATTAATTTGTATAAATATATAGTAAATTTATATAAAAATTAAAAAAAAAATCATCAAGAGGTATACCACCCTTGGTGTTTGCTTTCACCCCTATTTCCACCCCTCGTGTGCAACTTCTGTTAAAGATTTATTGTTTGGAAACCCCTAAAAAATATTAAAAACCAAAAAAAATCCAACACACGAGGGGTGAGAGTAGATATTTCAATTTCACTAATTGTAGTTTCAAATGGCTTCCCAGCAGGTTTTTTCAAAGGTTCTAACATCGAATTAAGTAATAAAAGTCTAATCTATGAAATATAAAGTACATTTTCAACAATATTCCAAATTAAAGAAATATTATCAAGTATTTTTAAATATGTTTACATATTATGCACAATTGTTTTTAAATTAAAAACTTCACAAAAAACGATTCGAAACACACCAAGATAGATGTGATTCATGTAACTTTATTTCTCGCTCACACTAAATAATAAACACAAGTAGAAATATGATGATCAGGGATATCCAAATCATGTTTCTGTGGGTATAAATCATCTACTAAATAGAGTTTTAATTTTAAATTAAAAATACTTCGAATATGCTGTCTTTTGCAATAGGTAATGCATATAAACTTGTACATTTTACCTTTTCCGGAAGATATTTCATTCAGTAGTTGATGGACATTTAACTTATTTCGAATTTCCGACTCAATAAGAAGAAAAGGAAGAACACCATTAAAATTGTTCCAAATTAAAAGTTGATTTGTAAAAAACACTTTTTTAAAAGAAAAAAGTTCAAGACTAGTTCTTCACCTACTTTCACCTACTGAGTCATTTGATGATCATTCAAGCGTAGATGAAGATAAATCTATCAAGAATACAAAGCGCTTATTGTCTAGTATGCAAGATGTACATCTTGATGTACATCATAGGAGATCTTATCATTCATAGAAGAAACTAAATTAATTTTAGGCTTCTTAGTAAAAATCTTTTTAAATTTTTTTGACTCTGAAATTTGTGTCAACATTGAAGTTTCTGGTTTGGCACTATTATTAAAAAAGAATGTTAGTAATCCAGATGGATTCGAAAGAATCTTCAAGTATTTTCTACATTGCTAAATAATAAATTACACTAGCGATATATGTGCAGCCTAATATTTTCATGATAAACTTAATATTTTCATGCTAAACTTACAAGTAAAGTACCATCCTTCGATTCAAGTATCATCATTTGTATTAGGTAAATATTGTGCATAAACTTTATACTTTGTAGTATGAATGACGAGAATCTGATAATAAGAGAAAGAACTTTTGCATTGCAATTTTGGAAAATCAAGCTCAACAGCTGCTTCAATGTTTTTGTTAACCATTCACCTTTTGTTAAGTGACCTGCTCCTAAGTTATTAAAGATGAAATCTTTGACAAAAGCTTTTCTAACTTGTTGCAAATATCGGGATACTTCAAAATGAGAGCCTATGCCAAAATAATCATCAATCATGTATTGATCAAAGCCAGTTTTTAGCCAAAATAGAAAGATGGCTAGAACTTAAGATTTAGATCTATAACTGGTGTTTCTGAGTGAAATCAAATCTCTGCTTAGTTCTTCAAATTGTTGTCTATAGAATCCAGTAGTTTGTTGGCAAATAGATTCAGGTAGTTTTGAAATATCAGAAAACTTTGAAAATAAACTGCTATACTTAGCGCAATATAGAAACATATCTAATAATTATATTTAACTTCTGGTACATTTAGTTTGACATTCTTTTTTTAACAACAACCAGCTGATAGTTAGCTTCATTGTTTAATAACTCAACTTCGTTCAAATGCTCTCCACAACATCTTGATCCAGTAGGTATAAGAATTTAAATTTTTTTGAAGAGTTATTAATGCGACATATGAAACAATAGTGATGAGAAGCAGTTGTTTGAGGTATATCCATCAAAATTTATGCATTTTTTTTTGCTTCTTTCTTTGATATCTTCAGCTCTTTTAATTCTTTTTTTACTAGATTATTTTTTAAAGACTTTAGTGACTTGTTCATTTTGTTCAATAATCAGTGGAAAATCCTACACTTGATTTGTTTCAAACTTTTTAGGCAACTCAAGATTCTCTGTTTGAAAATCAAATGATTGAGTCACTATAAACCCACTTAACGGTGAGTTTATTTCCTCATTCTCCTTTCTCAGTGCACTTTCAATACAAGCAGCAAAGCGATATGTGTTCCAATAGTATTTTTGTTATTGTTGATTGTTTCTCGCATTTCATTTAGGAACATTTTTTCTAAAAAAATTCTAGATATTTCATGCTTATTTTTAACTTTATCTAACCTTTTGAAACAACATCCGAAATTTTGAAACATCTTTATTTCTGTAAAGTTATTTCACTAATTTTTAGTTTAATCTTGAAAAAAAATTAAACCAAGTTTATTCCAAACTGTTAATCTTTTCATTTTGACACTTTATAATTTTGAACAAACAACTTTTTTATATTCCTGTTGGGAATTTTCTTGCATTGGAAATTCTCTTTAACAACATTAAGTTTACAATACAACACAGTGGGCCAGGTGGTGGACAAAAGTAAAAAAAATACATTATCAAAAATTACATTATTATATACCATTTTATAGCTTAAACATTCAACTTTTCTAAAATGTATATATTTTTGTATAATTATCATGCCGTATGCTTCTAAGATGTAGAATAAAAAGCTTTTTTTTTTTAAAAAAAATTTTCTAAATTTTTTTTTTTTAATTTGATAGTATTTTTTGTTACTAATAAGCATGGAATAGAAGTTAACGCTAAAACCTTTTTATTGCATAATTTAATAAAATCAAGTATTCTCTTTAAAATGAGCTATTACAGTTATGTCAAATAAAATGACGGGGTATTTGAAGTACTCTTTTTAGTTAAAATTTCACTTATATAGTCAAATACTTTTGCGGTCCAAAGCAGTTCAGTAATTTGAAACTTGAAATTCATTGTTCAATATGTATATTATCAATATAAATTTGTTTTATAATCTGCGGATGTCCGCCTGAACTCTATTAATGATTTTTGCAAGTTAACAGGTGAAAAAAAGATAGGTAGTTAACGTAACAATTTAGAATAAAAATATTATATGTATTTTATTCTAAATTGTTATGTAATAAATAGGTCTCAGTAAGACTAGATTAGTGTTACAAATTTGTTTTATTAATTATTCTAAAATACCTATTTGTAAAATTTTGTAAATAAAATTTATATTTTTATATAGTTAAAAAATAAAAAGTATTTGATATTTATTCATATATAATACAAGTATTGATATTTATTCTTATTTAATACAAGAAAACTTGAAGTTAATCCTAATATTTTATATACACAAAAAGATTAAAACTCAGAGTTTTTTTATATAGATTATGTAGAAGTTTCATAAAATATAAAAACTGCATAAAAATACTTAAAATTAGTAATTGGGAATGTGTAGAATTTTTAAATGCATAAAATAATTTTTAATGAGACTGCCACATTAATATTATTCTAGTTATAATATTGATGCTTGGAGAAAAGTTACCTAAGCTAGTAACTATGCAAAATGAAGTGTCAGGCATTTTAGGTGTCACTAACAACCAAATAAAAAATCTAACTACAATAAAAAATCCAACATAGTCCAACTACATTTGTAGAATAAAAATACTCTATGTGGTAACTATGGGAGAAATCCAATAAAGTTATTACTTTTCCTACTTTATATTTGTTAAGGTAATAAAAAATGTGGTTGCTAAGCAATTTAGGTATCCATAGCAACCCAAAGTTAAAAAGAATGTCACCATTAAAAAAGCAATCCTTAAATTAGTAAACAGTGCAAAAATGGTTCTTTTTTATATGACAAGTTATTAGTTTTGTCCAGTAAAAATGATTTCTGGCCCACTGTGTACAGTCGATTAAGTCTTAGTAAATTGCGAGACTTTTAAAAAAAAAAATTCTATTAAATAGATGGTTATTTAATTGTTATAATTAATTATTATATATAAATAATTATAACTAATTAATCGTACGCATTATAGTCAAAATAATAGTTTTGTAGTAATTTTAGACATTTATTTAAACATAAACCAAAAGGGGCGAAAACTTGATAGTTATATGCAAATCTTAAATAAAACATATAAAATAAGTTTATAACTAATTAACAAAACAAGATATTTATCAAGATATTAACAAAAAAACTGTTCACAAACTATAAATCATATACCTTATGCACAGTAGTAATATATGCAACCCTCGGCATTAGGAAAAATGAGGTCAGCAATAATTTGCCGACCTCAATCTTTTAGAGGTCGGCATCAGGTCAGAAAAAAAATTGGTACAAAGGTCTTACCATAAAACATAGAAACGAGGTTGGCAATATTTGCCGACCTCAAACACTTTTAGATCAGCAGTTAGGTTGGCATTGCCAAATGCCGGCCCTAATTCCGAGGGTTGTATATTTAATACACAAACTATAAATAATACCTTGCAGAATTCTTCTAACACAATAACACCTTCAAAAAAAAAGTTTTCAGGGTCACTAAAAAAAACAACAACTTTTGATTAAAAAGCTATTAAAAAAATCAGCACAAGGATAACTAATACAAATGTAACTACAAGCACAACTACCGCAAGCACAATTATGAAATTTTATGAATTTAAATAAGTAATCAATAATTTATGCAAATTATAATTTTTTTGTTCAAATTAAATTAATTGTAAAAAAATTCAGTGAATAAAAAATCTAATAATTTATGACTTACTTATCGTGTTCAAAATTTCCAGATAATTTTCTTCGCATTGCAATTAAAGTAGAAGAAAAATTTGGTACAGATTGCGCACGAATTTTTAAATCATAACAAACCTAAATTTATAAAAATTTTTGATACCATTATGTTTTAGTAAAAAACTAAACTATTGAACTAACTATTGAACAGTTTTTTTACATACAAAATGTTTTACCCACCCATATGTACACAGTTTAACATTTTAATTAACAAAACATGAATAATTGGTTGAAATTAAATACCTTTTGTAAGATTTTATATGGTGTAAAAACAGTTTCTTTTACAAAGCCTGTATCAAAGAGAAACTCGTGAAGATATGGGTGTCGATACTGAGCAATCAATGACAACACAGAAGTAATTTCAAGATTTATATCATAAGGCTAAAACAAAAATAACTTTAGATACAACTTAAAATTATTAAAACTATTTTTTAGTTTTGATACCAATTAATAAAAATTCTTTTAAGAATCTGCCATTATAGCCTACTTGATCTAAGATCCTCTGTAATCTTTGAAGAATTGTTCTAAGAAATGAACCTTCATAAAACTGAACGTCCGATACATCAAGATTATCATCTGAACAATCTAACAACAGGAAAAATAACTATTATTGAAAAATTGAAAAAAAAATCATAAAGCTCAGTTTTGCAGTTTATTTACCTTTTATGGTTGGCCATTGGTACAATTTTGTTTGTAGGGCTCGCTGCTGACACTAAAAAAAAACACAATTTATAGAAAACAATACACATTCACCATATTTTTCAACAAAATCAAAAAACTTACTTGTTTGTGGGCATCTCTTAAATAACTTTCATAACTCGTTTCTGTGGAAACATCTGAACTTTTTAACGCATCTGGAAGTAACAGTAAGAATCTGAAATAAACATTTAAAAATAAAAATCTGAAATCATAATTTACTTTTGAAATATTATGTTTATAAAACAAATTCTTTCTTCAACTTACCCATTGACGGTTTTTTCAACTTTTCTTTTATTGAACGTTCCTATTGATACTTCATCTAAAAAATCTCCCTGCGTTAGATACCTTTCTTCATTTCTACTGCAAACACTTTCATCTTTACTTTCATCACTATCTAAAGTCACTACTTCATTTTCATTTTCAATAACTTTACTTTTTTTTTCATCATATTCATAATCACATAAATGAAAACATTCATCATGATTTATTAAATGTTTGTTTGCAAGTTGTTGAGAATCAAATTCTTTTTCATCATTACTGTTTCCAAAATTTAATGCATTTATCGCAAGTTCATTTGAGTTTTCTGTAACAGTTTCTATTTTGTTCGGTGTAATGTTGCTAATAGACTCTTTTTTCAAAGCATAATTGCATTTACTTTTATTTATAATGGATTCATTTACTTTATTATTAAAATTTTTCTGAGGATTATAAACTGTATTTTTTTGAGAATCAACTTTTTTTATATCTAAATAACTTCTTTGTTTAAAATTCCTAATAATTAATGTTTCTATTATTGGCTGATATGAAAGATGAAGCAGAGCATTAAATAGACGAAGCGACTCTACAGCAAGCTGGTCAGATAAATGGTTTACTCTTTGAATAATCAATCTCCGCAGCTTATGCGGGCTTGAGCAACCTTCTGTTTCTGGATTTTGATCAGTCCCAAGCAAAATATCTGCAAACTCTACAATGATTAACAATAACAATAGCATAAAGATTATTTATGCAAAACATTATTTATATTAAAAATAAATAAACTATTCTAATTCTGTTCTTATTATTTATTTATTCATAAATAATTTAAAATTTAAATATTTTAGTATAAACTAATATCAAATCAAAAAATAATATCTCTCACAGAATTCTATAGAAAAATATTGAATTGAAAAACTAACACTTAAACATTTTTGTACATTTTTGAAAAACATTTTTTGATTATTTTTTAAAGTTTTGGTGTCAATTTTATTTTTATTCATTTATTAAACCATTAAAGTCATTTTTATATATTACTAAGGTTTTTTTCTTTTATTATTTTCCATTATGATATTAATTGGGGTCACCCACAAATTATGTCACACAATTTTTGACCATTTTAGAACTTACCACACCCCTCATCACAACATCGTAACTATTTATTGACAATTTTGGTATGAGTCTTCACAAAAACATTACCACTACCCCCTCCCCCTAAAGTGTTACATTTATGGACGACTCTATTACAAATATTTTTTTCTATTAACTTTGCTTATAGTTGTTTTTTTAAATATATTTTTTCTTCAATACAAATATTGTATACAAGTTGATTGATTTTTACAGAAAAATGAAATTTTTATTTTTTATAACATATTTATGCTTTATTACACATTTCATCACTATCCTTTATTGACGTTTTGATGAAAGTTGGTGAAAAATGGTGAAACTGATGTAATAACATCTCTGCACTTTTATTGATGTTTTGTTGAAAGTTGGTGAAAAATGGTGAAACTGATGTAACAACATGATGTAATAACATGATGTAATAACTGATGTAATAATATCTCTGTAATAATTACTTTGTATTATTATAGGTATGACTTCAATAATAAAAGTCTGTCATGTAGAAGGGTTTTAAATTTAGTGGCCCTAGGTAGAATAAGCTTTTTTTAGTTACCTAAGGCCACCATTTTTTAGTTATCTAAGGCCACCAGCTATTTTATCTAGAGCCGCTCTCTGAAATTGAAGATCTGAATCTGAATTCAAAGTTTAACTTGATAATAAATAGATAATAAAGATAGAAACATGAATTTTATTAAAAGTTTGTTTAATCTTAGATTATTTTCAACAAATTTATATTGTGTTACTTAGAATTTCCAACATTTAAAAATATCTACACTGCATTTAAAAGTCTACACCTAAAATAAAACGCTGTGGTTTTAGTAATCCCAAAGCAACTGCTCTGCACCAATCAAAATTCAACAATCTACATCGTGATCAAAGAAATTCTTTATCAAACAAACAGATATGGTCCTAGGTACAAGCAAACGACCCTAGGTATAAGACTTAATAGGGTCACAAAAAACAACATCTATTATCAAATCCAGATTACGTGGAACTTATTGAACATCACATTTAGTATTTAAGCAACAAACATTATAATATATAGGAATCTATAGAAAAACATTTCCTCTAGGATTGTTAAACAATATAAGATACCACCAGCAAAACTTTACTTTAGACCATCAAAAAGTGTTTTCTGATTATAACTTGCCATGGTAATGCTCTCAGAGAATCAAAATAAGATTTAAAAAAAAAAAAATTATAACTAACTACTTGACTAAAAAGCATAGCTTAGAACTTTATAGTTTTCAAATAAAGTGGGATGACCCAAGATGGTACATAGAGGCCCTAGGTACATGAACTTCTCCTATAATTCATATAAAACATATGTATTTTGTAAACACCCCCTCCTTGCACTAATCATCAAGGATTTCCTAGTTGTAACCTTCACCCCACAATCTTGTGTGAAAAAGAAAAAGTAGGGAGTGGGAAAGAAAAATTTTTGCAACTTTTTTTGCATTAATTTAAGCTCTGTAATTTCATTTTTATTCATTTATTAAACCGTAAAAAGTCATTTTTATATATTACTAAGATTTTTTTCTTTTATTGTTTTCCATTATGGAAATAATTGTGATCATCCACAAATTATGTCACACAAATTTTGACCATTTTAGAACCTCCTACACCCCTCATCACAACATTGCAACTATTTATTAACAACAGTAATAATAGTTCTTAAAGATTTATAGGAGTTAAAGTCAAATGGCAAAAAAAAAATTTCACCACTTCCCCTCCCCCCCCCCTTTTTTTTTTTCTTCTTTTTTCACACATAATTGTGGAGTGGGGGTTACACATGATAAAAATGAGGTGAATATGATAAAAAAATTAAGGACATTATTAGTGAAGCACTTCAATATAAAAAATTTTTTTTGAGAAAATATATGCTTTACATGAAATTAACGTATAATTAGGTTAACTTCAACTTTGAAAAAGTTGAAATTCAATTTGAGTTATTTAAATTTTTTTAGGAATGTTTTCTTAAACTTATGTTTACACTTTTCTATACATGTTGCGTTTACTAAATGGTTATCTTAAAAAAAGATATGTGTTAGTAAACAGCAATTAACAATCTTCATGAAAATAGAAATGTTTTTGTTAAATTCTTTATGCAAATTTATCCTTCCCTCCCCTGCTAATATTCCTATTTTTTATAATCATTTTTATAAAATTTAACAATAAACCAATAGAAATTGTACTGTATGACTTTTATACTTTTTAATAAAAAAATATTTTAAAAAGTGCAAATAATTTATAAAAGTTAACTTAAAAGTTTTAAAAAAAAAAGTTTTAGCAAAGGCTGTCTAAATCAAAAATTTTGTGGAGCCCTAGATATAATGGTTTTTGATTAAATTTGGTTTCACCAAAAATATCTTGCTCTTTCTGTTAATTTATATAAACAAAATTGAATATGTACCAAAAATATCTATCCACTACTGTTAAGTAGAGAGCCTCACCATGAGCCAGTACATGAGATGTGATTAGTTTTAAACATCTTGTTAAAATGGCTGTCACTGTTATTGCACATGGTTCTGAACTAAAAAGAAAATTTTTTATAATGCATATATTATGGTATTTTCAAATTAGTAAAACAGTAAAACAATTTTTGACATAAAAAATGTTAAATTTCATATCTTTGCATAATTGTGAAGCCATAGTATTAAAAGTTTAAAAAACTCTCCTCAAGCAGAAAATGTGTACAAACTTTGATCTAAATGTTAGCTTAATTGTCATAATTAAGGTTAAAGTTATAACTTAATGTTATGTGTTATAGCTTAAAGTCAGTTGTTGAAAGATTTATTTTTGTTAAAACTGTTCCTGATTTTATTATTACATTCCTCTAGTAATTTTTTACGATTTCATAAAACTAATCTTTTACTATGTTAAGTTGTGGGAAAATAATTTTAATAAAATATATCAGTTAACACATTTCAAACTTTCATTAGGTTATGTACTCTGTTGTATGCTCAGTATCATTTTTATGTTCAAGTAAGTAGAATACAGATGTTTAACATGTTTTATGCATTCAATAGTATAAACATTGAAAACTCTTAATGAGATTAAACATAGGTATTTTTTCTAAGATCATATTTTATAAGAGCAATGTAAAAACAATGAAGGTATAATAAGAAAGAATAATAAAAAATCTTAGAACAAAAACAAATTATTACAAAAACGCATTAATTTTAAAAATATATTATTAGACAAAATTATTAAATAAACAAATTTGATACTTAAATTAACAAATTATTATTATTACTTTTAATGCAAAGGTTTTAAAATAAAATCATTAATTTATAGAAATTTAAATAATTTTTAGAAATATCCTTAATTATAGGAAAAAATGTTTGAAAAAAATGTTGAAAAAAATGGAAACCATAAGTGCATGCAAAAAATATACAACTTCAAAGCAACAGCCACAGTGGTTTAATTTTAAGCATTCGCTGACATTTATCATTCGCATGCGTAACTCGAAAAACAACAAAAACATCGTTATTTTGATTTTTTTTTTTTTTTGTAATGGACAGTAACTTTATCAAAAAGGTTGTATTTTTGCTATAAGGTTGTAGTTACTAGACCCCTTAATTTAAAAATTGATAAAAGTGTTACCAAGTAAAACATATTTCATTTGAAACAAATAAATTTATTAATTTTTATGTGATATAATAATCAAATCTTATATTTTAGAAATAAATAAACATACAAATAACTGAGTCTCAAGAAACAAAACTAAGAACATTATGCAGAATATGTGGAGAAAGTATAGCTGATGATGTGTTTTTCACAAAACATCTTGTTAAAATAGAATTTTGTTTTTTTTATCTAAATCAATAAGGACCATCCAAATATGCATCATGAAAAAATGTGTTATAGATACTTTTCAATATTAGGAAATATTGAAAAGTTTCAAACACTGAACTAAAGTTAAGACCTTGGCCTAACATTGCAACTTTAATTTTTGCTCAAAGCCAAAAAAGGAAGGGGGAAAAAAAAGAAAAAGATAAGTGGAAGACCTTTAAGAATTAAGTGAAAATATTTGGACTAGACACACAATAAATAACATACAATTTAAACTTTTACCTCAAACAACATTTAATCTTCAACTACAAGATATTAATCCATATCTTAAATCCTCATGTGAATCTCATTGACAAAATAATATCAAAAATAAATCAAATATCATTGACAAAATAATATCAAAAATAAATAGGCTCTAAATGTTCCTTTCCTATTCCAAGTGATAGGTTAATTTTGTCAAAAAATGTCATTGAAATGATTGCGAGAAGTATGCAAGCAAGGTTGTGGTAGATTGTTTAAAGCACAACTGTCAGAATGTAAGAAACATTAAAAAACTTGTCAGATATCAATATCAACAACATTATCACTATAAATCATCATAGTCATTAACTTCACAAATTCAGATTTTGCTTCAGATATATTTGCATTGGATTCAACAAGTGTTATAACAAGGAAAATTGAAGATGCTGCTCTACATACAGGGTGGGGCAAAAGTCCCGCTACCATTTTGATTGCCCAAAACTTTGTTCAAAGAAAAGATAAGTAAGTTTGGTTTTCATGAAAAGTTTTCTTTACATTTTTTTTCGTTATGATTGGAAAATTATATAGGTTAAATGGTAACCGTTATTCGCTAACTCTCGGCTCTTTTTAGGGCATTTTCATGACATCCTGTAAAATTTCAGAGTGAATTTCTTCAATTTCATGACAAATATTGTTTTTAAGATGTTGAATCGTTTAGGGCTTATTCACATAACAAACTTTTGATTTTAAAAAACCCCATAAGAAAAAGTCTGGTGCTGTTAAATCCGGAGATCTAGCTGGCCATGCTTAATTGCCATTTCGCGAAATTAGTCTTCGTGGAAAAACGTCATTCAATAATTGAATTGTTGAACGGGCTGTGTATGCTGTGGCTCCATCTTGCTAAAACCACATGTCCTCTAGTCCTTGCTCTTCCATTTCAGGCACAAGAAAATTATGAATCATGTCTTGGTACCGTTCAGCAGTAAAAGTCGCTTGAACACCTTATTCATTTTCAAAAAAATAGGGACCCAATGATGTTTCCAGCATGAATACCACACCATACAGTTGTTTTTTCTGGATGCAATGATGTATCATAAATTAATTGAGGGTTCATTGTTCCCCAAAACTGACTGTTCTGTTTATTAACATGGCCATCAAGAAGAAAATGGGCTTCATCGCTCATTATCAATTTAGATGAAAATTCTTCAATTTCACAGGCATGATTGCATTACTGTACTGAACTCGTTAATCAAGATCTCTTGGTAGCTTTATGGACTAATTGAATTTTGTACAGGAACATTTTCAAATCAGTTTTCAAAATTCGCCTTAAACTGCACGCAGAAATGTGTAACTGGGAACCATGTCTCCGAATTGTTGTTTCTGGAGACTCTGCGCACTACTGCACACCAGAGCTACATTTTCAGCGTTACAAGATGTCTATTATCTTTCAGAACAAGGTCTGTCTGTTGTCATACCGTACTGTCGAAAATTTGCATGTAATCAATAAATTGTGGTTTTGTGGGGCACTGGACAATTAGGATATTTTTTACGCCATTTCCTCTGACTAGCAATAATGGAACAATCACTTTCGATAAATATTGTCACTATTTCTGCTCATTCTTGTGGCGTATATTTATCCATTATAAAACTGGAGCGTCTACACAACACAATGTTTAAAGTGAAACTGATCTAAACTGATCCCTAGAAAAATATAAAAACCATGGTGCAGATCCCAAGTTTTCCAAGTTATGAGAAAATGTTATTGATTAATAGTTGTTCAACGTGCATATTAATGTGAAAAATACATATTTCACAATTATTTATTTGTTAAATTAGGAGAAAAGTATTGAAGAATATAAAAACTAAAGTATATAAAAACTTCAAGGTACTCTTCCCAAAATTTGGAATTTGTCACAAGCTTAAGCTCCTACAATCAGTTCAAAAAAAATAACAAACAGTACCTTGGTATGTCATGTGTTATTTTATTTTTTGCCAGAACACAATAAATATAGAAAATCATTTTTGTTATTTGATCTTTAACTTTACTTTATATTGTTTCATATGCTGGAGTACCATGTGTTATCTTTCATTAGAAAATGGGGAGTAGGCCTTGACACATATGGAAAGCAAAATAGAAAGAGTATTCATAAAGAAATAAACCGCATGAAAAGTACGTACAGGTATATGAAGATGGGCACATAGATAAAAAAACATAATGGATGAGCATTTCATAAAAAACTATCCAACTGTTAAAAAATACCAAAAAAAAAGCTCAGCCTAATCAGAGAAAAACTTTAGATAAATTTTACAATATTTTATCAAACTGAAAATAGTTTTATAAAATATTGTAAAATGGTTTAAAAATATCAAGTGGCAGTATTAAAGCATACATATTATTTCTGTCAGTATTTTTAAGCTTTCAAATAAAATGAAAATTTACCAATTTTGAAAAGCATTACAAAAAAAAGTAAACAGGTTATGATTTTTGCTTTAAATTTGATTCACAAACTATTATAGTGTTTTAAAAAATCAAGGTAGTGACTAAAAAATTCACATTTTTAGAATATAGATCCTAATGTAAGTAGAGGTTTAACTTCAACTGAAAAACAACAAAGCTTCACTTTAATTCCACATCTATTCTCTTCATAAAATTATTCAAATGATAGCTTTGATGACACATAACATACCTAAAATATTGTTTTGACATCATTCCTTAGAGACAATTAAGAATTATCCACAAATAAATCTTATTTGAGGTGTAGATAACTTTATTAATAATTCTCTGTTTACCGTGAACATTATTGTTTACCAACATTTGAGCAAAATATGGCTATGTGCCATATTTCGCTCAAACAATGAGTATTTTGCTCACCGCAATGTAGTAAAGGTCTGTTGAGTAAAACATCAACAGACCTTTCCAAAACCACAACAAAAATAAAATATGCTAAGTATGGTTAAAAAAAAAAAAAACTAATTTAAGTTTATTGGTTTTTATAATTACTTTATTACTTAACAATAATAATAGTAACAATAATAATGACAATATTAATAAAAAAAAAAAAAATAATAGTAACAATGCAAATTACAGACATAAATTTTACAATGACTAGAAACCATGATGTTCTTACGTTTGAGAAAGTCCTGGTTCAATAGCTGTCAATATAAACCTTTCACGAATTGATGAAGCCAGTGCCCTTGTAACTAGCTTAAAAAACATGTAAAAACATTTAATACTCAAATACTTTTGTAAATTTTTATGGGTGGTAATCATTATGATGATAGTGTTCAGTATTATTTATATCTGTATTTAATCAAAAATAGTTCTTTAAAAATATTATATATTATACTTATTTATATTTAAATTAAAATTAGTTTAAAATTATTAAATTAAAAAAAAAAAAGTTAAAATATAAGTTATAAAAATTCATCTTTAAATCAATTTTAGACTTGTTGGCTACAAATATCAATTGAAAATTTTTATAGTGTTTTAGTTGAACGAGAATTCGATTTAGCCAGATGATTATTTAAAAAAATTAGAACTGGCTTGACAGAATATAATAAATATGTAATCAATCATTAAAAAGCAACTTGAGTTGCTTTTTAATGATTGATTACATATTTATGCATATAAATGCAAATAAGATACACAAATATAAATAATGTCATAAAGATATACAAACTTAAATTTATTTGCAAATAATAATAAAAACCAAATTCGAATAATTTGAAAAAAAACTTACTGGATGTGCTTCTAAACTTAGTTGATTAATGTAATCCAACCATGACAAAAATGCAATCAGCTGTCTTTTACCGGGAAATGAAGACACCATTTGATCTTCGAGGTCAAATCTTAAACAACAATAAATTATTTTAGTAACAGGTCTTTTTAACTCAAAATAGAAATTTAGAAACCCAGGATTTAAAAAAAAACAAATATTATAATTTAATAAAAAGAAAATGAAAATGTAAACTATTATCCTCCACAATCTAGTGGTAGTGGCAGAGGGCTTGCCTCATAAGCCAGAAGTTCGGAGTTTGATCCCCACCATGTCCCTGGTAGTACCGCGCTCAACTTGTTTCTCCCTGCAGCAACTTGTTTCTCCCTTGTTCGTTAAGGTTTGTGTTTCACAGTTATAAAGTTGAGAGAGGGTTATAACCACAACTAAAGTAGACTCCTCGATTGTAGTAGCCTTCATGGTTTTGAGGTGAATTGAAATTAAAAAAAAAAATCCAAAGTTCTTAATACAAATAAGATAACTGAAAATTAACTGTTTTTGATGAACAATATAAATAGTTTCTGATAAACCCTAGACAGTTCCTTTCTGATAAACTTCTGATAAGAAGTTAAGAAATGTGAAATGTTAAGTATCTAAAAATACTAATGCAATTTATTAGGTGGTTTATTTTATAGCTCTATAATTTTAGCAATATCTTAAGGTAGTTAACCCTGTTAAAATCAGCACAAAAAAAAAAAAATTTTTTTATTAAATACCAACAATTTGAGCATCCTAAAACACAAAAACCGCTTTACTTTTCTTCAAAAATTAATAGACAGTCCCAAAATTTGTATTCATAGGCAACATGGTAATTTTTGAACCCCTAGCAATGGCCTTAGCAACCGTGTCTGTTTATGTTTTTGCCCTATTTTCACAATTTTTTCATTGGTATTGTAGAAAGGTTATTTTGATACAAAACAAAAGATTGAAGGTGGTTAATCATATTTTTTTGGCCAGTTTTGATGTTTTTTAATTAGAGATTTTTTTAGTTTAAGACATTTTTTATTTTAAATCCTGTTTTTCTCAGAATTTAAATTTAAACTAGAATAGTTTATAACTATTTACTCTTTTTATATATAATTATTTACTTTTTTTCTTTGAAATTTTCACAGTTTGTTCATTGATATTGTAGAAAGTGTTGGTAGTAGAATATTCAGAAAATATTTTTTATTTTGACAAGAATTTAAAATTTAGCATACCCCACAGACCATTTTTTATCATTTTTACAGGTTAATATCTGCCATTTTACTTTGGCTCAGTATTTTTGAAAAATTCTACTAGGGGCCCTCTACCAACCATTTAGCTATATGTTGGTAAAATTTAAAGCTTTTACCTCAAATATTACTGAAGTTATTTATGTTTTTGTCACTGCATGTTTTTTGCTTTTTTAACAAATAAGGAAAAAAATGGTGTTTTTATATTTAGTTTTTTAACTGCTAACAAAAAATGCATATCATTTTAAAAAGATCTTATTTTGGAAAATAAAATTTGCAGGGTAGTGCCACCTTAAATTTTATCATATTATTAGAATATTTTTGTCTTTAAATAAAAACTCTTATTAATTAATCTCAGAATTTTTTTCTAGCTGTTTTAAATATTCTTTTCGAATAAACAAAAAAAATTTTGACATTTTTACTTAGTGAATAAGAGTTCATAAAACACTCATATAATAATGTTTTGCTAAATTAATTAACAATTAAGTTTAAATTAATGAATAAAAATCAAATATTAATAATCAGAAGGGAAAAAAGGACAAATATCATTTCTTTTAAATTATGTGTATTATTAATAACTTTTATCATGTAATGCAATTTTTCATTTAACTATTTACATTTAATTTTAAACTATTTTTCATAACTGATTATGAACATATTTAATTACCCCCATGTTGCAGTTAATTGGTTTAAATCAGCAGGATCAATAACAGCTGGTAAACTTTTGAAAAGCTTTGAAAGTTGATCAGCCTAAAAATAAGTAAATCTTATAAGTACATTTTAAGTATGGAAATTCTTTGTAGGTTTATAAAATATTATAAAATCAAATTTATTTTGTAGGTCATGCAATGAGAAATTGAAACAATGAAAAAAATCAATTTGATGCAAAATGGAGGTTCATCATGATATAAAAATTTAACAAATTAATCAAGCTTTGAAGTCTGTACACTAAAATTGATTTGCAAAAAAAAAAAGTAGAATCTAGAATCAGATAAAGAACCTTGAATTCCTAAGAAGACACAAGTTGGATCAGCAGTTAGATATCATGTTGCAAGTGAGAAATAATTTTGTGTTTAAGTATTGTTTAAACAGTTCTTTTTGTGTCAATTAAGTGTTTTTTGTGTCAATATTCAGTGTAGTTGTAAAATTAAAATTAGAAAAGAAAAAGAAAAAAAAAAACAAACTACAATATTGTGGAATGTTTCTTTGAAGATGATTCAGATTTTAACAAGTAAAAGATTTCCAAAAGTTCACTTTAAATTATTTTATGGAAGAAAAAAAACTATATATCAATTAGTCAAAATGCAGAGATTTCAATGACACAAAAGTTCACTAATGGCAACACCAGCTGTAGTTTTGTCATTTCTTCTAGACCTTATTGAAGCAAAGAATTCAGTGAAAATATCACTTTGACCTATAAGTCCTATGATGGAAGATTACACTTATTACACTTCTGCTAAAGACATTCCCACAAACAAACAAGTTAAAGAAGCCACATTTGCTCTTTATAACCATATGTTTCAAAGGTCAATACGAGTCCCTAGAAGCTGTCACAGTAGATTCAATCATTCAGGAGGAAATTACTCTGATCAATTAGTATATTGCATTGTAATGAATTACCAATGAGACATATAACTGCTTAACTGGATGGGCTAACTAGCTCATATGATGGGTACTGGCCCAATTAAAAAGCCTCTATTTGAAGCTAATAGCATAAATAGACTTGAGACATTTGTATAGAACTGCTTGAACTCTTGAATAAAAACCTATTTTTTATTGATGATGCAAATTTTTTTGTTATAAGCTGATACAATGTTTATCCAAAGGAAAGATGAACATACACTTTTCAAAAGCAAAATATGAAACTAATTGCCAAAGAAGATTGTTTACCACATTAACTGTTTACTGGTATACACTTATACAAAAATATTGTACCACTTCTAAGCAGTACTCAGTGCAGTTAATTAAATACACTGTAAGTACAAGTAATTTTGTTTCAATAAGGTTGTTTTGTCACTAAAAAAATAATAGTGTTGTTGTCAATTAGTTTTTCTTTTAAACAAAAAAAGACATTCTATGAGTGAATTTTAGCAATCACACATATTTGTAGGGTAAAAGACTTATTATTTTTTATGATCATCAATGGGTAGTCAAATATACTTCAATATATAGTATAATATCAAACTGAAACTCAATATTGGAGATGTTCCAGATCACATAGAAACACTATTGAAAAGAAAAGATGATAAAGTTTAAAATTTCACACAAATCATTTAAAATAGAGCTTATTTCGCCCACTCTAATAGTCATTAAAATAGTTACAGATATTAGGAAAAGCAGTTTAAAGACACAGCTGTAGGCTACCAGAAAAACTTCGCTCAATACAGAACTTTTATCTATCAGAGCTGAATGAGCAAAGCAAATAATATAAGAACCAGTGTTTAAATATCAAATCTTTACGTATGATTTTTTCAAATACCTAGTTACGTAAAAGTTCTTTTGAAGCACTTTTCTTTTCACACACTATCTTGTTAAAGAGTAATATAAGAGGTTTCAGAAGCAGTTTCCATTTGTGATTTTTAATAGACATGCTAGTGAAAAAAAGAATAATAGCAAAGCTTTACTCAATTTAAAAAAGAATTTATTTGTGGTTTTTTAACAAAGATGTAAAATTAATTATAATAAATATATTTCAAATTAAAAATTGGGGTTTTAAAAAAAGTAGCAATTATGATTGTAAGATTTTTTATTTCTTACCGCTCAAAGTAATGTAATAGTAAGTTTTTTTTTATCTTTGATTTTTCTGTTGAGATAATCAAAGATAAAAAAAAACTCAAATAACGCTAAAAATATTTAGCTAAACTTTCAAAAGTTTAAAAAGCATGAACTGGGCAAATCAATCAATAAAGGTTAAGTTGTACAAAAAGTACAATGTCACATAGGTAAAAAAAAAAAAATTAATTGGTTTTAGAAAGTTAATATTCACATATAGTGGCACCATAAAATTGAAAATCAAATATTTTGAAAGTTTGACAAAATTGTGTAGCATATATACCTATTTTTAAAAAAGCACATATTTTCAAACAAGGAAGTTAAAAATAAATATCTTATACAGATTACATAGATGAAATAGTAATAGTGAATGGGTCATGTTAAAAGTGTTTTATTATTATACGGCTTTTTGTTATTTATTACCGGTTTTATCTGGTTTTTCTTGATTATTCAATTTTTGGATTGTAAAAGTTTTTGTTACGGATATATTAGTTAGTTAACACGATGTTACAAGAAATAGAATAACTTTGCTAAAACCCTTCTCAATTAATGTGTTTAAAATAATTAATTAAAGTGGTTTTTTACATGGCGCCCGATGCAAAATACGAAATCTGAACGAAAAATATTGCCAGAAGAAAAATATTTATCCAATTGAACTCAAAAAGAAAAGAAAAAGAATCGATTTGATTTACAAAAGTTTTGTACATTGATATTCGGTGTAAGATTTGAATTGTGTAAACAAGCGTGTTGGTAAGAAATAACATATTGCTTTTGTTGATTCAATAGTGAATTTGTTGTTGTTTACATATTTTTATTGCTTATTGTGTTTATTGTGTATAAGAGCGAGTGAAAAATTGTATAGAGACTGTAAAGTAGTATTAGATTAGAAGTTATACATTTTTATAGTAGTAGTAGAATATAAGTTATGGCTGCAATATTAGGTAGGATGATAGCTAAAAGGAAAGCACTAAGAAGTATTTTTCAAAAAAATGTTGTAGAAATAAGTCAAGCGTTAGAAGACCCTGACACCTCTCAGTCTAGGTTTATAGCTTTAAAAAATAGTTTGAGTGACTCTTATACAAATTTAAATAATATTGATGAAGAAATAATTAATATACTTGATCCAAATGAGGTTGAGGAAGATGTTTTAGCGAGTGTTGAAATAACTGACCCATTTCACAATATACTTTCTAAAATAAATCTAAGGTTAGAATCTTTAAAATTAGAGTTTGATAATAATTCTGAACAGAGTTCTAAAAATAAAATTAATTATAGATTGCCAAAAATTGAACTTCCAATTTTTAAGGGTAATATTTTAGAATGGCAAACATTCTGGGATCAATTTAATATTTCCATACACAATAATGATGACCTAAATGATATTGATCGTTTCAATTATTTAAAAAAATATTTAGGAGGCCAAGCATTGACTACCATTTGTGGTTTAACCTTATCGTCAGAAAATTATAGAGAAGCAGTTTCTTTATTGACTGAACGGTATGGTAACCCACAAATTTTAATCTCTGCACACATGGATTTATTATTAAAACTTGTGAAAGTAAAAAATAGTGATATTTTTATTGCTTATTGTGTTTATTGTGTATAAGAGCGAGTGAAAAATTGTATAGAGACTGTAAAGTAGTATTAGATTAGAAGTTATACATTTTTATAGTAGTAGTAGAATATAAGTTATGGCTGCAATATTAGGTAGGATGATAGCTAAAAGGAAAGCACTAAGAAGTATTTTTCAAAAAAATGTTGTAGAAATAAGTCAAGCGTTAGAAGACCCTGACACCTCTCAGTCTAGGTTTATAGCTTTAAAAAATAGTTTGAGTGACTCTTATACAAATTTAAATAATATTGATGAAGAAATAATTAATATACTTGATCCAAATGAGGTTGAGGAAGATGTTTTAGCGAGTGTTGAAATAACTGACCCATTTCACAATATACTTTCTAAAATAAATCTAAGGTTAGAATCTTTAAAATTAGAGTTTGATAATAATTCTGAACAGAGTTCTAAAAATAAAATTAATTATAGATTGCCAAAAATTGAACTTCCAATTTTTAAGGGTAATATTTTAGAATGGCAAACATTCTGGGATCAATTTAATATTTCCATACACAATAATGATGACCTAAATGATATTGATCGTTTCAATTATTTAAAAAAATATTTAGGAGGCCAAGCATTGACTACCATTTGTGGTTTAACCTTATCGTCAGAAAATTATAGAGAAGCAGTTTCTTTATTGACTGAACGGTATGGTAACCCACAAATTTTAATCTCTGCACACATGGATTTATTATTAAAACTTGTGAAAGTAAAAAATAGTGATAATGTTGATGGCTTAAGGAAACTTTATAATGATATAGAGGCAAGTGTTCGAAATTTGAAATCATTAAAAGTTGAAACTAACACATATGGAAGTCTTCTGATTCCTATTTTGAAAGAAAAAATACCAGATGATTTAGTTCTGTTAATTTCGAGGAAATTTGGTGGGGAGGTTTGGACTATAGATTTATTATTAAAATATTTTCGAGAAGAATTAAATGCAATAGAGTGTTGTTCAACTAATAGTCGAAATGTTGAAAACAGAAAAAATAATAGTCAGTTATTCACAACTGCAGGATTATATTCACAGAACATTAATCAGAACTTTAAGAATAATTACAAAAAAGTTTTTCCGAAATCATTTGATAGCGATTACCAAAACAAAAGAAATTATAATTATCCTTGTGTGTACTGTTCAGAAAATCATAACCCCTGGGAATGTAAAAACGTGACAAATTTTTCAACTAGAAAAGAAATTTTAAAAAAGCAAGGTAGATGTTTTAATTGTCTTAGAACGAATCACATATTAAAGAATTGTCAAGCAAATTATATTTGTATTAAATGCAAAAAAAAGCATCATATTTCCTTGTTTGAAAAAGAAAACACTTTTGTTGGGCATGCAACACATAACATTTCCCAACAA